TCCTTCCCATCTCCTTCTCCTATCTCCTTCCCATCTCCTTCTCCTATACTTCCTCTCTCCTTCTCCTATACTTCCTCTCTCCTAGGAGTATTTTTAATCTTGAGATGTCACTAAATTTTTCAAAATCTGAAATTACAGAGTTGAATTTCTTTAATAAATATTTCTAATTTTATGGAATGTTTCGCATTTTAGGAGGAAGTGCATCTCTGTCTCAGCCCCACCTGTCCCACAGTGACCACATGTTCTGTTCTCTCTTGGTTGACAGGATGTTTAGTGTCTTCCTTTAGATGTCCAGTTTGTGGTCACTGAGCGCCTCTCTATCTCTCCCTCTCCCTCTCTCTCCCTCTCTCTCCCTCCCTCCCTCTCTCTGAGGATCTGTCTCTGCTTTCTATCTCTGGCAGTAGAGAGATATTCTGACTGTTCATCAGATAACATTCTGATCTACTTTGTCTTTCAGTTTCCTCTCTCCAGTGCTCCAGTGCTTCTTTACATCTCGCCATGATGTGTTTTACTCTGGTTGGTGTTTGGAGAGCCGTGTTGTTGAGAGACTGGTCCCCGTGTGTCTGAGAGGAGGCAGCTAGTCTCAGCACCAGCTGACATAGGGGACTCTTCTCTGGGCTCAGGTCTTGGGTTTGGAGGGCTTTGGAGTGGAGGGTGTCTGGGGGGCTGGATTTAAGGTGATTGAAGAATGTGAGTGCTTTTGAATGTTAATGATCAGTGGGTATCTAGTTCTGCTCTACATGCATTTGTTGGTGTGTTTCTGTGTAAAATGTATCTGCAAAATTCTGCGTGTAGAGATTTGTCCAGCGGGTATAACTGTGATGAAGTATGATGACTGAGTGGACCCCATACTTCACCACCATACAGCGCAATGGGCTGGATGACACTGTTAAAGATTTTGAGCCAGATTTTAATTGGGATTATAAAATTATAAAACGTTCTCTTAGTTGCATTTAGAGCTCTTGGAGCTTTTTCTTTTCGTGCATTCACTGCCATGTTGAAACTCCCTGATGCCGTTATGGTTATACTAAGGTAGGTATAACTCATACTATGTTCAATCATGTTGGTGTTTTTGATAAACTGGGATTTGTTTTTGAAAAATCATGACATTAGTTTTCTTCATATTTACTATTTACTTCCCCTGTCTGTCTGTCTCTCTCTCGCCCTTCCCCTCTCTCTCTCTCTCTCTCTCTCCCCCTCCCCCCCTCTCTCTCCCCAACCTAACACTATATAATAAAACACAAATGGCCCAAAAGATATCCCAAAAAAGAAAAGATGAAACTGGTTTCATTTCCATAGCTAAAAGCCCGTTGGTTTACACGTTACATTGATTTGTAATATTCTGGCCCAAGAATAGAATAAAACATGAGAACAATTATTTTCTACTTTTTTTTGTTGACACAGCTTTAGATGGTCATTCTGGAGGCTGTAGTTTGTGGTGTTGAATACTCCATTAAACTGAGAGGTATCTGGAATACACATCTTGATTTAAATGGGGTTGGGGAAGTTTAGCTAAGTGTACCTAATAAACTGGCAGCTGAGCGTAGAATATTGATTACTAAATTCAATAATAACAAGCCCAGAACAATATCCCGAGGTGTGCAGCTGTATGATTATGTTGTATGTTATGGACACCTGCTATCTTCTGTGACCATGGTATGTGTTCACACAACACAGAATGACCACGTATGAGCACTTACATATTAATATATAATTACATATTACAGGCATTATACACACACGACATCACGACAGCATGACTTTGCCTTCGGTGTACAGTAAGAATGGTTTATTGAGGGACAGGTTTCTCTCCATCAGTGAGCCACGTGTCTGCGTTTCACCCGGGTTGCAGCTGTGATTGTAGCTCGGCTGCACATATGATACAGCTTTGGTACGCAGACACTGAGCCTTATTCAGTTTACATTCTGCCATTTTAACCGGCCAATGTTTCCCTTTATCGAATAGAAAAGTGTCTTGTGAAAAGTGACCGCGAGTTTTGTGGCACTTTGATTTGAAAAATATGTGGGGCAACAAGCGTGCACGTAAGCGTTTATTTATTTGCACACATACGCAGAAGCCGAATGGGGCACAACCCTGACCAGGAAAGCACATTAGGAGGCCTGATGTGCAATTTTGTAGATGCTTTTATTCAAAGTGCATGAATGCATATTCTCAGCATAATTAGCGCCGCTGCAGTCGGTGAGTATTAAGGACAGCATGGCCTGTTTAAGTTTGTAAGTCATGCTGCTCCTGAAATGTTTATGTGCATCACATGAAGCAGCAACATGACTTGGCTTTAAAAGCTGAACCTGACTAAATATCCACACTAGCAGCCCTGAATAATGCGCGACTTTTAAAACTGTTGGACTCTATGAATAAATAATAAATCCAGGAAAATTGATTCTCTCACATTTCTCTCTTTTACATTCATGTAATGGTGAGTTTCCTTTTCTGTAACATCTCATTCACATTCATTCCAGTCATCACCGACGTCGCCCATGTTGTCAAAGCACAAAGCCTCCCATTTATAGATTTCAAGCATCATATTGAACCGGTCGTCTTTGTCCCCTGAATCAACACGATACCGTCAGTGGATGCTAAACCTCAGATGTCACAGCTGCATGTGTCTGTCGGTCAGAATTAAACCTGGCCAGTTGAGATGAATCTAAAGCAGCACAAAGACTCCTCTGTTGTGGATTTCAGCACACTAAATTGTATTTATTTTTTTCTATAAATACATTTATCCCAGCGTGCAGCGTTTTCCGTGGTTTAGACTAGTGCTGGGCGGAACCGGTATACCGGTTTTAATTTCTCGTATGATATAAATTTTTCACACACCGTCATACCGGTGCATAGCCGAAACAACTGCTGTCGCTCTTCAACAGGCAGCAGAATATATAGTGTTCGCCGCTAAGTGCGCTGCGGTCGGAGCTAGTTGCCTTAAGTGTATTGAGAGGGATCCCTAGTCATGGTTATAACTTTATAACAACAATTAATAACCCACAACTAACGCTCTTTAACAACAAAACACCACGACAACAGTTTGTGACACTTAAACAATTTGTAACACTAATAATTCTACATTTATAAGATTACACCACCGAACGGCATGCTGGGTACAGCTCGCTAGCTAGCTAGCCCAACAGTCTGCTAACAGCTAGAAGAAGCTCCGTCGCTACATTAAAGAACAGAACAGAGCGATGCAGGAGGACCAGAGAGAGACCGGAGATGCACCGATACAATTTGTGCCCAAGAGAGGAGCTGTGTCTGCTGTTTGGAGGTTTTTTGGTTTTAGAAACTCTGACGTAGATCAAAAGACGATATATTGTAAAGTTTGTCGAGCCGCTGTTATTGCCTCTGGTGGCAACACTAGCAATTTACTCCATCACCTCAGCCGGAAACATGTGTTGGAATACGAAGAGTGTATGCGATTACGGTCCTCGGATGCTTTTCGGGGTATTTTGGTCAGACACATATGCAACGCTGATTACCGTGTAATATGTGTGGCATTTAATGTACGTTGGTACATAGAGGGTGATAAGAAGCTGTACATGGAGGGACTTAGGATCCAGGGGAATGTAGGTGAAGGAAACAGGAAGTGAAGGAAACAGGAAGTGACGGAAGACACGCCACACAAACAGCTGTTCACCGCTCGCTGGCCGGTTCTTGTGTTAGTTTTCGGTGTTAACTAATTAATGCGTTAACGCGGAAAAACAAAAAAACGTGATATACCGTGAAACCGCCAGAATCTTACAAAATACCGTGATACACATTTTTGGTCCTACCGCCCAGCACTAGTTTAGACCTACATTTGAAATCACGGTGAATTATGATAGCTGGACGGTAACGATCAGAATTTGAGCAGGATGTGCTTTAAAATGCATTGTAATAGTCTTGTTTCCTCACATATGAAAGCATGTGCATTTATCTTAGCGAAGCATTAAATCATAAGTAGCGTAGCTTGACGAAAATGACAATTGATTGTACTGAAGCACAAAATGGTTCTGACGTCAAATCAAACTGAATGAGCTGGACTGGCGAAGCTTACTTGAATCTTAATGGGCCACGTGAAGTTGCTGACATAGACGAAGAAGGTTATGTTTGGGCTGTTGCGGAAATCAAAGTTCTCGTTGGAGAAGCTGTCTTTGAACTCCTTGATGTTGCTCCGGGAGACGATGGGGATCTCCTCCCCGCTCTGAGTGCCTGCTGAGTGACAGAGAGAGGAAGAGAAGAAGAAGGACGGAGAGGGGAAACGAGAGTTAAGAATATGAAGAGGTGGACACGAGGATGGGGGGAAACATGAGGGCGATGATAACAAAGCTAACAGGATAAGGCCACAAGGTGAAGGCAGACGAATGAGGAGCTTGTGATCGACTTTTTAGAGATTTACAAATTAAAGGAATACTTCCCCCGCAGAGTAATCATGTTTATCAATTACTCACCCCGTTAGTAGAGAAAAAAAGCATTAAAAAAACGACAAATTGACTTTAACAAATCTTAATCGACTAAGACTAAAACGAGCTGCCTGGTTTATATCCGTCTCATTTAAACTCAAGAGAAGATGAACTTAAACTACAACCATCAGCTTATTGTTCATCTCTACGAGATGAACACATGGAAGATGACAGCACTCTCTGTATATGATAACCCCACGTTAGGATACCAAACATGTTCTCCAATGATTAAATGACAGGAGGAGAAGTAATGAGCGCCTGAGTTTAACCGTCCCTCCTTCATTAACGCTGAATCTGATCTGAACCGTTCCTCGCAGCACCTGTCCATGTGAGAGCTGCCACCTGAATTAAGTGTTCAGCCGCAACCACATTTTAATTATCAGTTAATCTGCTGATTATCTTTTTCGGCAAATTATTGAGATGATTGAGACATCTTCAAACTGCTGTTTTTGCCAAACCGACAGTAAATCTCTTATTGTCTTGGGGGTGATCTGCTGTGCTCTTATTGTCTTGGGG